GCGAGAGTAGCCCCCGTTTTTCAAAAAACCAGGTATATTAAATAATCTCCAGGGATCCAGCATCCAAATACCTGTTTTGCCGTAAAAAAATGACACTGTTAGTGGGAATTGACAGTTTTGAGGTCAATTATGAAAGAATGAAAAAGGGTATGCTTTAACTGCAAAGCATGTAGGAGAGGTTATAAAGTAATGCATCCATTCAAACTTGTTATATTGTATTACTACAGGGTCACAATTTGATCGCTTAGTAGGGCGGCTGAAAAGGTTTCTTTATAGCCCTTTCCCTGAAGGTTCCCAGCAGTGCTATAATACTAGTTAGATACACTGAAATACTATTTCTATCTATTTCGCCAGAACTTGATATCGTGCATGGCTATTCCTCCCCCAAACGGGTTTTTCTCTAAACAACCCCCTTAGCAGGCGCACGAGAAATTTAGGGCGAGCAATTATTAATCTATAAATATTACTAAATATGTGTTCGTGTATGAGAGGCTCAAATCCCCGGTTAATTCTTCATAACCAACCACTTTTGACCAAATTTGAAAGACGTTTGCCAATATCATCACAATTGACTTAAGTTATACGAATATCGAGAGAAAAAGGGACAGCACAAAGCGCGGTATCAGCTGTTTTGATAGAGCTGGAGAAAATGGGCTGAAGATTTCACAAGTTTTGCTAAGAAGAAATAGCGAAACTTCTGCCTAAAAAGAATAACAAAATACCACTCAAAAGATGACAAACGTTATTTGAAGTATGTCTGCTAGAATAAGTAAATCTACGTAACCTGAAACTGCCGGGGAACAGTCAAATGTTATGACGACGAAACATTACATAGCCGACCGATCGAGGCAAACATAAAGTTAGAAACATTTTGAATGAATAATAAAACAATTATTGAATTCGTCTTTCGAATGATATGAAGAATTATGCAGATCGAGTAGGGTGCTATAAAACGTAAACTTAGGAAGTTTCACGTTGTAGTCGTGTAAGGACGGCAAAAAAGTCTACCAAAAAGCGTGCTGAACGTGCAGAGCTTTTTTGCCGTTCTCGTTGCCGTCACCGTCGTCGTTGCTTAAGTACCAATCCCCTCAAAGGTGGCCCTTATAGTAGCTTCCCACGCAGGCGTTTTTAGGGGGAGCTCGTTTTTCATCCCTGTGGGGGGGATAAAAACGAGCTCCACTAAAAACGCCTGCGTGGGAGGCTACCCTTATAGGGACCAGGCCTACAAAAAGTTCAAAGGCCGGATACGCTCCTGCATTATAGATCAGTCTACATACTTACTTCTGATACGCGAAGCCTCATATCAACTTCAAGGCGAGTGAAGAAGCTTGATTGATCTTTTATTCAGGATTTATTTTATATTGCCACCTGCACATACAAACAACTTCTTCTTTTCTTGACGACTGGTGGTGGCACAGTTATTGGCCTCATTAACTTTGCTGAGAACAAAAAGACATAAAAGACTGGTGTAAAACTTTGTATGCCCAAAAATGCTGGAAATATTTTTTGGCCATTGCATAGTCTTCAAATGCCTACTATGCAACTTAGTCGTGTACACTAAGACTTATGACATGAAGCAAAATTGCCAACTTTACTGTTTTACCGACGAAAAAAAATTGTTTGCCGTCAGGAGACGTTGTGCCTGCATTCATTCAATAAATTAGATATGGCCACTGAAAGGTCAAAGGAAATAAATAAAAAAAAGTTACAAAAGCATTTCCTAATCCCAGCTGAAGTAGACTGGTTCCCAGAGACTACAGAGCTGACAAACCAAAACACCAGGAAAAGTTAAAGTTTTCTTGTTCTTAAATTAGCGACAAGATTTCCGAGACTTATTGCCATAAATTTCAACTATTAATAAAACGAACTTCAAAATAAATATTTATATCTTCTTCTGTTTTCTTTGACTTATAAGTATAAACGTGATCGTCCCTGTAAAGTGTGCAACCAAAAACACCCAATTTGGAAATGTGATGTGTTCAAGGGAATGGAACATATATAGAAAGAAGTGGGAGACGGCGAAGAAACTTGGACTGTGTTACCATTGCTTGGGGAAAGGGCATGTTGGCGACTCATGTACTTGGAACAGAGAGTGTGGAATTGACGGATGCAAGGGCCATCAGATGGCGCTTAACTATACGATTAATCATGTACGGGAGAAATACTTAGTGGTCCATATTCATGAACAAGTGAAAAGAGTCATGAGAGAACGTTGTGAGTGTGCAAGACGATTTCGGTCAAAGCCAGCTCACCAGCAAATGGCGCCGTTACCGAAGATTAGACTGCAGCAATCCTCCAGACCTTTCGAGAGCAGTGCAGTAGACTTTTGAGGACCTTTCTTAACTAAGCAAGGACGTGATAGAGTGCGAGGAGCTAAGCGCTATTTGTGTTTGTTTCTCTGTTTGAAGACCCATTGTTGCCACTTAGAGATGGCCTCGTCTTTGGACACTGATGCATTTCTTGACGCTTTTGTCAGAATGACTGCGCGTAGAGGATGGCC